TATTAACGACATGTTTTTTAAGTAAGACCATTTTACTGAGCATTCTAAATCACCATTAAAGGGCCCCACCTTTAAATTTCTTTTATAATTTGTGGCACCTATGGACTTTCTTGCTTCCAGAGATTGATTAGCACTGGATGAAAAACTGTCTCATGCAGCACTTGCTTAGTGATGCTCCAGGGTACAAGAAGAGACAACCAGCCTGAGTCAGACCTATGATTCCTCTGGCCCAAAGGCTCCTGCAGACAGGGGCTGCTCTATGAGGGGGGGACAAATTGGTCGCTGACGGCCAACCCTGTGCTGACTGCACACCCAACGTCTGATCAAGGTCGGCAGAGCTGAGGCAGCAACAGCCACTGGACCCTGTGTCAGGCCAGTGACCACCAGCCAAAGCCAAGTTAAGAACTCAGGCACAACAACAATCCCTGGAAATGCAGGTAATAATTCAGGAAGAGCAAGGGAGAGGGCTCAGCACATGCAGACCTCTAAAATGGCTCATCGGGACTGCATGTGCAGGCTGGAGCTGAAATGGAGTTCTGGGACTCATGGGCAGCGGTGGAGGTAGGTCCCACAGGAGGAAGGTCAGGGCCATCAGTGCCTTCAAAGCCCCGACAGGCAGCAACTAAGGGAGGATGTTTAGGGAAAGTGGGAGTCAGCAGTATGTATGATATGTCTACTACGCTCCCAATAGCCAATTAGTTTCAAAGTACAAGAGAAATCTTGAGCAGAACTAGGAGGCAAAGGCAGGTACCTAATGACCCACATGGCATTTTCTTTTCTATAATTACGCTCACTCCCTTTGAACCCATGTATGCAAAACTTCCTTGTGAGGATTTCTCAAGTATCATATCTGTTTTGTGAAAAGCCAACTCCTTTGCTTTGAACATCCCGTCAACTATCTCACTTTGACGCTCCCTAGTACTTGGAAGAGATGGTGAGCAGCTGATCCCCAGCAGTATTTCCCATGTCACTTACAGTTCTGCTTTTTTGTTATCTTTTTTCCACACTAACCAGCCCTAATCTCTCTTGCTATTGGTCTTCCTTGTAGCCTTATACATAACCATGCTTTCTCATATGCTCTTTCACTCTCCAGGGATTTTTTTTTTTTTTTTTTTGGCCTGGGACTTTCTGAGGTGGTTTTTACACTTTAAAGAGCCTTCAATATGTTTTTTCCTCTTCACCTAGTCACTATTTAAATCTCTGTAAACTTCTTCTGTCCCCATAATTCTACCATTGCTGAGATGAAACACTACCTCTGTTCATTTATGCTGTACTTGCCAGTTTTCAATATCCTCCTGTGCTCTTCTGTTAAACAGGTGTGTTCATTTTCTTCGTATTTCTCATGACTATCAATACTGGTTGTCGATTTACAAATACTTTTAAAATATGCCTGTGACGGCTACTTGCGAATCCATGCACTTCATAGCTTCTAGAGAGGAGGAATTTTTTTTTCTTTCAATGTTATACAGAATTAAGTTGTGTATTTTAAGCAGTTGAACTGTATTGTGTCATCAGCACTCAAACCAGCCAAAGTGGTAATGTCAATGTTTTGTCTCAGATGATGATAATCCTACTGCTATGTAAAAATATTACAATAGTTGTTTCATACAGCGATCTCATTATTTTGAGCACAACAAGGAGGCAACCTATCAATATTCAACCTAAGTATTCTTTTTGATACAGTCACGCTATTTGCTCTCTGACTTTTGGCAATTCCCTCAGGATCATATATAGCAATTTAACAGTGGCACAAGGATGGGGTAGCTGTTCTACTGTCTGCGACCTGAAGATACTTCGTCCTATACTGATACTTCTTTCTTCTCAAATGTTGGGAAGGCATGAGCTATAGATCAAATGCATTGTTCCCACAGTTTACTGATCTCATCTTTTTGCCTCCTTCATTTGGTAGAGTTCCTTGATGTTTCCCTCCTGACATGATTAGAAATGATGTACATGCAAGTAAAATGTATTATGGCATTCATGAGTTGCATTTTTTCTGGGAGGTAGAAGAGAAAATGTGCACTGGCTCACGTGCCCCAGGTCTGGTTGTACATCCTATCATGTAGCATGGCCTGGTACTCTTGCTTTCTCCCATATGTGCCAATTTGGGCCCTTACTATAAGATGAAAATGCATGAATACTATTTTTACAGGGAATACAGCTCGTGGGTACATCTTAACAAGGTTGTGAGTCCCATTCTGGCCTCAAAGGCTGACATCAATGATCAGGAAATGTCCTCAGCCAATTCTTTTAACAGTCTCACCTTCAAAAATGAAAAGCATTTGCTTCTAAAAAGAAAAGAAAAAATCCAAGTTTGTTGACCCTTGTGAGACATTACCAGATTTAGTTTAAGATGAAGAATTCTGGTAGGAAGAACCTGATGGGTCTAAATCCCTTAGCGCCAAAACCATTTGTTTATCTATTATAACAAACCCAGAATATATATATCTATAGTCAGACACTCATTCATGCATCCACATTGCTGCTTGAAGTATTAAAACAAAGTAGCAGACTTCAAAATATTTCAAAGTGGGAACAGAGTATATCTGCTTGGTAACTTACAGTATTATTGTTGCTGAAGTGTGAGAGGAAAAGAGTGTGCATTTTTAAACCATAATGAAAATAAGACTTACCGAATTATTTTATATATTCCTTTATATAGTTCTTTTACAGCATTCCTCTTCCTTTCATGTGTGAAGAAAATGGGGCATGGAAAGAAAGCCCGTGCTTTAAAAGAATTATTCACTAAATACAGGTTTACATACATAAAGTTAGGTGATAACCCAAGAGGTTGATTTTTTTTTCCCCGTTTGTTTCTGAATTAGAGTAGGTTATGTTTATTTCTCTTAATTTCTTTATTTGTCCTGTAAGCCAGTGAATTTTCCTGGCCATCTTGCTGCCAGGCACGTACAGACCTGCCTCTGTGGCAACTTCGTTATTGCTGAGCAACAGTGTCCCTGCCATAAACCCTGCTCGGACTGATTCACAAATTAGGAATTGTCTCCATTTATTTGACACACATACAACATCCAGCACTGAGTGAAATGCAGATATCCCTCCTTTTTTATTCCAGTGTGTACTTAAGTTGGGTTGTCCCTTTCTCTCACTGGATCTGGCAACTCACTGCTATGAAAAGTGCCATCCCAAGGAGGCTATGGAAGGCTCCAAGCGTCTCTCTTACTCCTGGATGCTGATGCAGTCTGGCATTTTTTTCTGTTTTTATGATGATGTAGTATGAATGAGACCTGAGACTGGAATGTCAATCTTTGTGGTTCATTCTAGCCATAATTCTTCAGCTAGTCCCATATTGACAAATCTTCTAATTATTATTTTTTTTTTTTTGCTTAGTTCAATATTTAGTTATACAAGGCAAAGTGAACAGCCACAGCTCTCCAGTACCCCATTGCCGGTATCCTCTGACACTCACCTGAAAGGACAAAGAGCTGGGACAAGGTACCGGGTCTCCCATATTCCAAGCCACTGTCTAAACACTCACTCATGTGGCAAATGGTGGGTGGCATTGGTCTTTCCTCTGACAACTGCATTTTCTCAAGTGATGGCTTTAAATCCTTACCTTCTGCAGATATTTGGTGCTTAAGCAACATCCTCCTTCTTAGGATTCTTATTGAATGGATTAGGTTGTTCCCTGATGGCACACTGTAAACATTTATCATTGATAAAGCTCAGTAAATCCCATTCTTCTATGTCTGCCCCTCCTCATGCATCCCACAGGTGATGCTCCATATCTACCTCTGACCTGCAAGGTCAGCTAGGCAGCAGGGTGCCTACAGTCACTGCTGAGATGCAAGTGGTGTGACATGAGATTGTTTTGCCAATATTATGATGAAGGGTGAAGCCTATTTATCATCATGTTCTCTAAAATGCTAGTTGCTTTAAAAGGCAGCATATGTAGCGGTGCTATTACTATCCTTTTCAGTGCAAGCATGCTTGAGATTTTGTTCCATGTTAAACTGCTCTCCATTGTACTCCCCACCCCAAATGTATTTAATACCAAATATTGTCACACTGCAAACATGACATATGAAGGGGTACTATGGCACAAGTCTTAGTTTCAGCTAGCAAATGCAATAAATTAGAAGGAAAAGCCCCAAATCACCTGGTCTTTGAACTCATTTTATTGTTCCCAAGCTGTCTTGTAATAGCTTTTGAAAAAATAAATCGTATGTATCTTGTACCATGGTGTTATTACATTGCATAAAATGCATGGAATTATTCAGTACACTGACTACTAGCAAGTAACAAGAAACTGCTGGAAAACTAAAAAGAGCTCTATTTTTATTCCAGTTTCCTTTGGACAATACTCTTGTGGTCCTTTTGACTGCAGTGCCAGCTTTTATTGCTGTTATTGTTGTGCTACAACAGAGATAGTCGAAAAATAATCCCTAACCACAACATTTGATGTCCTAAGTGTTATGGGTTGAATTCACGAGATGCCCAGAGCCTGTAGCTGATTTGTCCTTCCAGCAAACCACCTTCCTCCTGCCCCATGCCTCACCGCTTGCAAAGGCAAACTATGTGCAAAATACCCCTGCACCTTCCAGGTTGCCAAGTTGGGTTTTGTGTGCCAGCTCCTCTCCAGCTGATACTGTGGTGGAGACAGATGCATTGCAGCCTCTCCACTACTCCTCACACACAGAAGGAAGCTGAGGGGCAGCAGCGGCTGTTGCAGCTTGACGAGGAGGGATGGGGTTGAGGGGCAGCCATAAAACCGGCTTCTCAGCGAGGGAGCAAGCTGCACCTCCCCAGCCACAACAAATCCCCTCACCTGAGTGGCAACTGACTCCTCAGGACAAATGGTGAGCAGTGTATTCAGAGCTGAACGTGTGCTAAAATGGTTGTCTTTGCTTTTGGTGTTACAGTGAAAATTACATGAAGGTGAAAGTTTTCAGGGTGGATACTAAGATACCGCTTCACTGATGACGAGTTTTTGCCTGGAGCACCACTCACTGAGTAAAGTCACAGTGGAGATCTCAGTCTTCCTAAAGTCTAGTCTCCTTTTCTGGCCAGTAAGTTGTCTGAATTAAATGGTCACTATTGACAAAATTATCTTTCCTGCTCTTTGTCCCACAGGTGCCTCTCTCCCCGTTGGCTGAGAGGGTCTCATCTTGTGGAGAAGACCTTTTCCGGAGAACCCAAAGGACAGCAACACTGAAGAAAATGGACACCGTGCCCAACACCAAAGTCAGCCCCAGGTACACGTACCTGAGAGAGAAATGATTGATCAGAGCCTATTTCAAAGGCAACATACGACTAGAAGGCATCAAGGACACATTCATATTTTCATGCGTTAAGGCTGAGTAAGAAAGCTCTTCAAGCAAAGTGATGACCCTGGAGATTAGAGTTTGCCAGCTCACCCAGGTCAGGTATGGGGTGGTCTGTGGCCAAGAAAGCGTTTCAGGCATTGACTGACCTCCTCCACCCCAATGTGCTTCAGTGAGAATAACGGGAATATTTCTAGGGCAATGAATTTATTTTGTAGTTGCCTCATAAACAGTACTGGTGATACCAAGACCATTTGATGGTATTTTTGCTTTACAGGCATAATGACAGTAACAACAACAGCCACAACAATAACATCATTATGGTTTATTAGTAATAAATCCCAAATGAGCTTTTGTTCCTTTCTTCAAATTTTCAAAACAAGAGGTACCCTCCCCAAATGTTTTTTTCCTGGGGGTGGGGGGAAGGGCAACCTCTTCTCTTATTTTCTTTTTACCATTTTTCTCCATTTCTGGTAATGCCTTTCATTAACGTAGTTCAGATAATTTTTCACCTCTGGCAATAAACTGATAAAGACAACACTGCACTTAAGCCTCTACATAAGCCAAGTGTGCTTTGTGGCACCCTTCCTTTCCTTTTTGTGGTCCAGCTCCAACATGGAACAATGATGAGGTTTAACAGCCCTTTTACTTATTTACTTATTTACTTATTTACTTATTTACTTACTTACACATACACAATCTCACAGCAGAGTTGTTAAAAAATGGGGGAAGCTTTAGCATAAAATTGAGGTTTTAACTGAATATTTTTGGGGCAAAAAATCAAGTGACTTAAATATTTACAGCTGATATTGAAATAAGATGACTTCCCCCCCAAAAGAGGCTAAACAGAATGAGAATGCCAAAACCTGAGCATTATTGTTAATATTACTAGTCAGACTCTTTCACTTCACATAAAATCTTTCACTCAAATTTTCTGACAGAAATTCTCCTACCAGTGCCAGGTGTAGATGTACTTAAAGAACACAAGTTAAAGAACAAATGGAGAAGAGCGTTACCTCAGTGCACTGGAGTCGTAGAGTCTGCACGCTCCTCTTCCCCCACATCTTTTGCTTCCCCATTTCAGGCAAGTGGTATCTATAGCCACTCCAAAATACACTGGGGCTGGAATTCCCGCTGGGTGTATTTAACAAACAAATAGAGGCAAGAAGGTTATGTTCCAGGGTGATCAGTTCTGATCTAAAGACATGGTCATGTAAAACATTAAATAATACATTCGAACAGCAATGACGCTTCCACGCTGTTTGCTGGTTCGAGAAGTCATGCCTGATGTTGTTGAGGCACACACTGCCCTTTCCTCTCCGTGGGGAATCGGGGTGGGGAGGAAACGCAGCTGAACATCAAAAAGCCTGTGGAAGTCAACGGAAGGAGTGCTGGCCGTGGCTTGGTTTCCTCACCCTGCAAGACCCCTCCAGAAAAAAAACAAGGAAATACTTCTCCTTTCTTGGGAGTTATGGAGCCTGTTCAGGCTGGGGGTGTGTGTCCGTCCTGTCTTTTGGCTGGGGGAGTGAGAAGGGAGAGAGACAGCAGGACTGGGAGCCTGCAGTGGGGCAAGAAGTATCCTACAAGTACCCTGAGATCCTACTGTGGCAGGGGGGAAACGTACTGCAGTGCTTGTGGGTGATGGAAAGGAAAAGCCTTTCTTCAGGTGCTAATGAGGACATCAAGGACTCTGTGCAACCTGGAAAGCTGCCATGGTTGCTGGAGAAGAAAGTAAGCCTGGAGGGAAACTCCTGGCTTGCAAAAGTGTGAGAAAGCAGCCAACAGCTTGTTTTGATGTCATTTCATCTGCTCATCGAAGTCTGCTCTATTTAAATAAGTGACTTGCTTATTGCTAATTATTACCTTTTCTACAAAAACGTGGAGGATTTTAGAGTTCCCAGTTCATCGGCATCTCATGGTACCTTTGGTTTTAGAGAAAATTTACAGGTGGCTCCACCACAGGGCTGCAGTGAACCCTGCCCTCAGGCACACCTGTACTTAGATTAATTCCCTTAGAAACTAGTGAAAATATGCCTGAAAAAGGATCACAAATTCTGATCCATAGCTGCTCTGTTATGCTTCTTGTTGCATAAGGAGAGACAGGAAGTAATTTTGATGTTAGCTTCATAGTCTGAAGGATCACTTGCCACCTCTATGGACGTTAACAGTATATATTTTTATTATACCGAAGACAGTTATAAGATTTATGAACTACAAAGTTGCTTCCTTTTTTCAACTCTTTTCCTAGTTTCTTTTTAAAAAATCATATAATACTAACTTGTCATTTAGACATTGTTCTTTCCAACAATCAAAGTTTAATTATAGGACAAATGATTAGTGAGAAGTACATTAAAATAGACCCAAGAGTACAAGTGGACTTACCAAGCACTCTTATTGCCAGGGTATAGATACCAAGTGCAAATGATTTCAAGTGTGGTTTAATGCATCTAAAAATGAAAAAAAAAATTGTGTTAAATAGAAATAAAGAATTGACTGTGGATAATTTGAACACAAATAGAAAGCAAGATAAAGGGAAGAAATGTGACTTTTTCCTCCTTACTGACAGTGACTTTAACAGAATTACAGAAATACATAAATAACGTCATAAAATCAGAATTGTATCTAGGAATTCTGAATATCTATATTCAATATCACATTTTAAGAAGGTGGTGCGTTTTCAGATAATACCACCACTTAGAAGTTACTAATGCAGGACAAAAAAAATGGTTGTGAAATCATGCATCGTTGGATAGTCTTATTCAGTTAAATACTCTCTGAAATTGTGGATCATGACACAGGCTCGTGTAAGGAACATAGGCACTGGTTGCACTGTATCTAGGATCAGGTTCACACCTCCTGTAAAGGTAAATCCTCCAAGCCATTCTCTGACCGAACAGACTATTTGCATTTGAACTTTTCTCATCTTGCAGCAGGGGCCCAGCATCATTCTGGCTCCAGATCAGCCCTGCTCCAGCCTTGGGTCATCGTTCTGGCTCTTCTAGGAGGGTGGCAGTGGTAGGCGGGAGAACAGCTGCATTTTACATTCAAGCTGGCAGCAGTATGCATGTGGAGCCACTCAAATGAGTAGGACTCATCTGCTGCTACCCTCACCAGCTGCTCAAGCGTGCTGTTTCACCCAGCATGTATTACATTTCCTATTACAATACTGAATCCAGCAAGAACCTGAGTACATGCTTTACTTTAAGCATGTCAGTAGTCCCAGTTACATGATTAAACTGGGACGTGCTTGATATGTGGAGTAAGACATGTGTATCATGTGATAAAACTCCCTCTTGTCACAATCATTCTATTCAATATAAAGAGAAAAAAAATGGACTGAAATTCAGTTGTCACTATGGATAAACATAGCACTTTGGAGGTCTAGTCTATGTGCTCTGAACTAGGATGGACTCATCTTCTGCAGAAATTTGTGTAATCGGGAATACTTTTTAAAAATCATAAACACATTGCAGAACCAACAATTTTGTTCCCTACTAGTGATGTTTTATTATTTCCCAATGCAGCCACAAGAACAGCATTAAGAACCCATGTTGTAAATGATATTTGGGTCATCTTCCCTTAATTTACTGAAAATGGAAAAGGACATGAAGAACATCTATGGAACACAACACTGAAGTATCAGAGTCAAAAAAATGTTGTGCTCATCTCATTTTGTAATTGGGGTGCTTTATTTTCTAATTTTCTAAATTTTATTTTCTAATTTTTAATCATGGATTATCATCATACAGTCTGTTATATTGTGGCTTATACAGGCACTGCAATGTACGCAGGCATGAATGTAATATGATTTTGAGCATGAAGAACAGTGTTTTGCCCTCCTATCAGATATGTGTTACGCAAGCAAGCCTCAGCCTAGAAGCCCTTTGAACCAAATGCGAGGGCGTAGAAAGCAAAAAGTGGCAAATAAACCGAATAACTGGATATTTATTATGTCGTCCATAGGTTTTATACCCTGCAAAAAATATGTTTTTAAGAGGGAAAAAAAAATATGTTCAAGCATCTGTATTGTCTTTGCACGGAAACAAGAGTCTTTTGAGATCCTTAGTGAGAGCCAAACCTCTCAGGGAGATCTGAGACTTCTTTTTCACTGCCTAATCACCTCCTATTAATAGCTTGTACTCAAACAAAATCTATCTGAATTGCAGAGTTTTTTTTTTTTTCTTCAAAACTTCAGGGCTTTCCCTGTCATTAGTTTGATACCACTAAAAAGACGTATCAGCAAATGACTCGGTCACTAGCTGTGAGCATATTTCAATGATTTCAGTCATGTAAACCCTTGAAATAAATGTCACTAAATCTTATAGGCTTTTAGGGATTTAGCTGTATTTGTGCTCCATGGCAGGTGCAACGATATCTGCTCATGTGAAAACAACAGCTTGCATAAGTGTTGGAATCTTATCAGAGCTGACTGAATACTGAATAAATTTTAAAAACAGATAACTGGAAAAATACCTAATGAAGTCTGCAACTTGACCTTGGGACTATTTGTTTTCAAAGAGCATTTCTTTTCTTTCTGGGAACAGAAGCACTCTTCCAGTTTAGACAGATTTTCAGGGAAAGCTAGTCAGTGATGGATTTCATAAAATCAAGCGTGAGCTCAAAGTGGAATTGTGCCCACAGGTCAGTTGTAGAGAAAAAACGAAAGAAAAAAAAAGGATTGAACTTACTGAAACATGATTTATTTAGTTGCACATCAGGTTCAGGTGCCTTCAGTCCAGCAGAAAAACACATAACTTCTCAGTTTCAATTAAATGACTTTCAAAGTAAAATGATTTTCAACAGAAATAAAAGCTCTGGAGCAGAACCAATAAAGCTGTTTTGCTGATTTCATATAACAAAATGTTTTAGTATCGCTATTGAAAACCTCTCTAAGCTTTTCTAAATAAATCCAGTAAGTATCAAGTCCCCTGAGAGCATGTTCTTAGGGTTGAGGAGTCCAGGCAACTCTGTGTGATTCAAGCTCTTAGATTTTCAACTATGAACATCTCCTGACAGACATTCTGCAGTGGAGAGAAGATGGAAAGCAGGAAGCTAAGTATGGCAACGACGGTTTTAAGGCCCTGTTTGGTACCCCATCTGTACATTTTCTGCCACATATTTTATGGGTAGAAAGGGGACATCATGTGGAGGGAAATAGGAAGGAAACTGCATCTCCACACAACCCTACGCCCATATTTTTACAACAAAAAAAATCCCCCTGTGTCAGAAGCAACCACAGAGGGCAATCTGGCGGAAGTCCTGGAGGCTTTGCTACAAGCTCTCAACTCGTGAATCATCCTCCTCCTGGTGCATGGGCAGTTTCAGTGCTGCATAAGTTTCAGTAAAAATTGTCTAAAATGGATTATAATATGATTGTTCTTCTGGGAGTGACTCCTCGGGGAGAGGGAGAGAGAGAGAGATACCATGTGTTTCCGCAGTACTCAATGGTAAACCTACAAGGTGGGTGGGAAAAGCTATGCAGCTTATATGGTTTAAGGCATGTACCTCACTGGCAGAGTTTGGAGGGGGGAGTGGGAAAGGATCCTCACCTCAGCCCTTTCTGAAAGTCTCTAAGTGAATATTGCTTCTGGTTCAAGGACTGTGCTGGAACTATAACTGAAGTTAATTTCTTTCTTTAGGATTTTCCACATAGCCTATATTCAGGCAGTTCTAGCACTGGCTTTTTTGATGGGATATAAAGACACTGGCAATGAGGTGGGGCCTGTTCCAGAAAATTTCATTCAAAAACAAAGAGCATTTTGGGGTAAGAAAGCACAACAATAATGAAGATTAGTTGAACTGTATTTACCGTTGTTTTGTTTGAGAAGTAGAATGTACCCATCTGGAAATAATTTGGAAAGAGGAACTGAGAAAGAAAGCTTTCCAAAATAGAGTGGAGCAGCTCTTAGAATCCAAAAATTACAAGAAGCTGACAAAAATCCAGATTAATCACTGGAAGTATTATAGTCCTTTTGCACTTTCTAAAATTAGCTTAAAAGCTTACACTCAGTGATGGACAGATAGTTCCAGCAGTTAAATATGTATTGGAACAATCTCCTGGGACAAACATTTAATAAACCCGTGATTATTATGACAGAAAAAAAAATCATGCTAAATCTATCTTTATTTTGAAGAGAGAAATCTGGGACAGAACAGCTATATAGGATAATAAGATGGACTAGAGGAGAAGAGTTGAGTGTGCGTAGAGGCTTTGGGTTAGATCACCTCTGTGTAGCTGTGCATCAGTATCCAAAGTGAGTGAAGAAACTGTGCACACATTGGCACACGCAGAGCTAATTTCCTCTGCATGGAGGTGGTTTAACACCATTCAGGTAATGTAAAAGGTTTTACAGGAAGTGGAACGGTATAAATGATAACCAGGTCTGCTATATCATGCTTAAAACCAGAAAGGTATTGCTGGTAGAGAAAAATCATAGGCACCTCGCTGCTTCAATGGTAGAAAACTCATTCTCAAATTATGAGGATGCTTTTCAATAGTAAAAATAAAATAAATTTTAAAAGCCACCTTGCATAGCTGAAAACATTTCACAATACTAAGTAGGGAAGGAGACCCTGTTACATATGTCAAAGCACCTTGAAAACATTTGGTAATGCTTGCAGAAATGATTTCTTACCTTAGAAGCAGTATGTATCCGGGTGTGCCACCTACTGACAAAGTATATGAAGTGATAACCGATACTACTAGAAAATACAGAAACATTTTTGGACACTCATTTCCTTTTTGACATGGTCCCACCACAGCTGAGGAGCTTTGTGAAGGCGATTCCAAGGTTCCCACACAGCTGCAGTTAAAAAATACCTGGAGGACAACAGGAAAAGGTGTATGATAACCTAAAGAGCGGAGAAGTGGATATTCAGGGATTGCACATCATGCTTTTCTGCATAGCCGAAAGTTTAAATTCAAACTGGAAAATGTTTTTCAAAAGGAGAAGACTTGTTCATTGAAGGAAAAAGATGTATAAAGAAAGTATCTACTATTGATAAATTTATTTAGTGGGGTTTTTTAAACAGTTTTGGTAGCCAACAGCTAAAAAAATCCCCCTTCTACATTCTCTGCTTCAGATTTCTGCTGGAAACAGCAAATGAGAAAGGTTTAAATACGGGTGGCAGACTGCTAAAAAAACCCTGAGGCATTTAGGGCTGGAGAGGACATGCCTTACTCAATTTTAATCCACTTACTTTGACAGAACTGGCTGCATTAGGAAAACTACCACATCACATACGGAAACGAAAGATTGTCTTACGGTGTTTTTCCCACTGCCATTGGATGCCTGGCAGCCGGCGAGACAAGCAGAAATGTAGGTAACTCCATTTTCCCCGCAGATGGGGTCCCAGTCGTTCTTGGAACATAGGCAGCCCGAGTTACACTCTGAAAACAGGGCTTGCTCGTAATCAGTTGTCTGTTTAGTTCTGGGAAAAAGAGAAATTGCAATGATGCCTTCTAGCAGATGTGGAAGAAATCATTATCAAATCCTGGGTTATAGTCTCTGCCAGGCGCACCTGGCCAGACCTGCTCCCTGTAGTCCATTAAGGTGTTGTCTCTTCACATCCATGCAGCTGTGTAAATTCTTATTTCTCTGCTATCAAAAGGTTTTCACAATATCACACCACCTACTGTGAGATAGTAACTACTTTATCAAGGGGGACAGCTAACAATTTTTATTCATGCGTTTCCTCAGATTTTCTAAGATCTTAGTTATTTGAGGCTTGATTCAGTTTTAACAAAAATGGACAAAAAAGTTTGATTACTCCAGTGGCAAAGAGGGGAGCGAGTTACTCACGGGAAATGGTCACTCTAGAAGTTAGTGAGGAAATGATCCAGAATAGGATTAATCCAGATTGAGGGTCTGACACCTTGCACAACAGACCTCTGCCAACTTCAGCCAGCTGCTGCTGAAGTCACCAGTGGAGCAGCTCCTAGGGCTCCTGTGGAATCGATGCCGGAAACTCCTCCCCAAAAATGAGCTTTACAGAGTAATATCATGGGCAAAAGTGACCAAAAAGTGCTAGCCTCAGGGGTACCTCATAGCTCACTCATGGTTAATCCATGAATCCTCAAGTTTTGGGTTCACAAGCTATTAAATGCCGTGGGTTGTTCAGCAGTACATAGAGTCAAGGAACGATTAATTGAATCTCACACCCCCTACTGAGCTCCTCACATTTCCAGAAATCTCTGGGCTCAAAGGATGGGTCCCATGGAAATAATAATTAAAAAGTAATCAGAAAAATAATCTGCACTTGTGGCACAAACCCCTCTGGGCTGAAGGCAACAATCACGAAAGTGTTCTGACACAATGCCCACTGGAATAGATGGAGCGGCTTCTACTGCTTTGAATCAAATTTCTGGGAAGCATATTTAGGTCAGTCATTCTTTTTTCAACAATATATACTTTGTGGAATAAAATGAGGTAGGAGTTCGGTTTGCAATAGCACTTTATGCTGAAGCGTGCCCTTCCCAGCATACCCGTGGTATGACACGGTCAGTCCGGCCACATCCGAGTTCTCACAGCCCATCGCAAACAATGAAAGGAGCAAAAGGTAACCAAAGAAAGATGATCCCAGGGAGAGTTTTGCGGCCCCTAAAACATTGATTCTGAATTTTTTCATGATCAGTCCCCCAGAGAATATGCCAAAGGCCACCGCAGGAATGTTGATAAGACCTAAAATCAAACAGAAAAATCTGTGTTAATGAAAACCCCAGCTCAATGGGCTATCCTTTTGAGCCACAAAAACAGCAGCAGCAATAAGATGAAGCAACAAAATATGAAAGAAATTCAGTTGGGGTGTTTTATTTGTTCAGACTTGGATTGTTCCTACGAAGGTGCTGGGACTGCTTTTAAAACTTGCTCCCAGGGAAATGTTTCTTTGCCAGTTCTTTGACGGAGAGATTATGTATAAGGTTTAGATGATGATCTTCCAATTTCTTAAGCTAGATGATTTACTCCATTGTTAGTTGTTGGTGGAGGGATCATTGTGGTCTTAATTCAAATACTTTTAGTGTTGTTTCTCACAAGAGGTGCTCTGGGCACAGAGAAGTTACCTAATGGTATTGTGCTGCTTAGGGCAGCCAAGACAGCCACAGTCCCACTGCACAGTTTGGGGCTTTGCTATAGACCTTCCCTGTATTTTTCACCCATATATCAACAGTAGGAGCAACAAGGGCCACTCTCTGGGGCTGCCCCACTCTGGCTTTCCAGGGCAACTCCTCTCCTTCCCTTTTCCACTGACAGGAGGAACATGAACTGCTCATTCCTAGAGGGCAAATTCCATTTTACCTACAGTGTTACGAAACCCAGAGCAACACATGCTTTTTCTGTGTTGATTCAGCTATGAAACCAATGATCCCCTAGAGAAGTCTCCAAGAGGGGGAAAACCAGTGGTATGTCATCACCTCCGTGCCCAGCAGAGTTAGGAAATTTCTCTGGTGTTGGTTGCTGAAATGCTCCCGCAGGTGAGTGTTGCAACAGCAGAAACATAGGTAAACCCCATGGTCTCTCTCTTCTATCAGGCGTCGGGCAATCAAGTGGAAGAACATTGAAGAAAACATTTAAAATTGAGTGGCCATTAATCCTTACCTGGACAGCTTTGCTCAAAGCAGTGTCCATATTGATAGACATGGACAGCAAGACCAAAAAAAAATTCCCATTCAGTACATGCAAAAAAGAGACCACAGTAAATGGCACTGCACAGTCAAGCAAGGTGCTTTCTGCTGGATTTCATTGTTACTGAAAATTATTTTCCCAGCTTTACCAGCCAGTTCCGGCACATTAAATTCCCCTCTTCCACAGGGCTGGGTGTGCAGTTTGCAGCTTTTAATTCATGCTGACACCTAGCGGTGCTGACCCGAGAGAGTGTACAAAACACAAGCAAGTACCAAAGCATACATGCATTCATACAGCAGACGAAGTTTCAGAAGTTTGTTCAGGTGACTGGAAGTATTACAACATGATTTCAAATGACCTGGTATAAAACACCAGTTTATGACATTAGAGTCTAATCTGCCTGCTAGGAAGTGCACTGGGATCACTCAAATTTCTGGCTTGAGTCAGTGTTTGATCCACCTGCACACATGGAAAAAAATCAGTGTTTAGAAGAGATGCTAGTCTGACATTAGAAAAAGCCTGATTCTGTCTAGCAGACACAGGAGTCAGTATCTTGGCCGAGTACACGAGCCCAGTTCAGTTACTGGTGAGGTTCAGGGAGCTTTACTGGGGCGGCATTTTTCACTCCGCACATACGTGAAAATTGTCCTTCAGGGGATTCAGAAACAGCATCCAGAATGCAGCATATGTAAATGGAGTTACCCTGTTCTCTTTTGCTTGTAAGAGGGAACTGGAATGGGAACTGGGAGCTGTGTGATGCACCAGAGAGTACCCGCACTCTGCCTGCCCACCTCTTTGCACCCTTTTTGTTCATGCCCTTGTCTCACAGCCTTGTGGGCAACTCCGTTGCTTGACACCGGCATCAGGGGAGGGGGGAGCAAAGCGTGCATGTTTAAGGAAAATCATACAAACACAGAAGGAGGCATTTTACTTTCTTGCAAGCGCCTTGGGTTGGGACTACTGAGAAATACCCTCATGACCTCCAGCTGATATTTTTTTTGTGTGTTACAGTGCTTCAAATTACTCTGTCAATTCTGATATCTATCAGAGAGATTGTGCTAGAAATTGTTTTTTTTAAAAAACAAAACAAAACAAAACCCAAGAAGAAATAGGACAAGAAAGGGAAATTGCTGCTGTTTGTTTCTTAGCAAGGGTGGATTGGGAGAGAGTGGTAAAGGCAGGAGGTGAAACACCTTATTGCAGGGATGGCCACTCAGGCAGGATCCTTCCCATGCCAAGCCATCCCACATTCTCTGTTGGATATAGCCCCTAAGTTTTGTGAAATCAGATGGCTCTTAATCCTCACTTAGTTTGCACATACCTGAAAGCTTAGCTCCAGAAAATCTTTAAATACAATGAGAAGCACTGTACTGAATGTAGGGATTGTTTTCTGGACTTTCTCTGGCCATTGACTACGCTTGAAGATTTCTCCTCGTTTTTAGGAGTTTTGTGCCAGGAAATTCCAGCCTCTATCTTTAAGGAATTAACATAGCACAATGGATCAATACAGCTTTTCTGCATATATGTACCTCTGTTGCTGTGCAACTAATGCTGCTCTGAAACAAGGCAGTTCCCTCCGTATTGGACGGATGTAAACCTCTTTGCGGTCTAATGCTATCGAATCCCTGGACCTCAGGAACTGAACCCAAGCCTGCAGGTTCCGCAACTGTGCAGTGAAGTTCACCAACCTGAAGACATCTCCAAAAATGGCCACCTCAATACCCAAAGGCAGAAGCAGCATCTCTCTCTGGTGCTGTATGGGAGGGTTTGATAGATAAACTTCAGGACAGAGAAAGGCTCTTAGGTAAAATTACGGCAGAAATACATGTTTTTCCTTCACCGGCATTGCACTGAGATAATGTTAAGTTTCTCATGTGGTCATTGATATGACTTTGACTTCCTTTTATTTAACACCAACCTCTTAAGAAAGTAAGAAATCACTGGCAATATCACAGCTACTTTATGGTCAGTCCTTTAACACTCACTGAGTGGGTCTTCATTTCATTGAAATGAATGGGAAGCCATCAGACCTGTCTGATGATAGATTTATGTAAAGTATTTTAAAATGAATTTTCTTTTCAATTATTCTCTTGTGATGTACATACATTATTTTTCAAATTTCCCGTAGAATGGGAATAAAGTATAAAATTGTGAAATCTTTTGCAGTAACACTTACATAGATAAACTCAGAGCTAACTAGTGCTAAAGTAGAAATGAAATAACTTACCTTCTATGAGTTCCTACTTAAAGCCAGAAAAGAAAGGAGAATAAATAAACATATTCTAAAAAAATCCAATTTTTCCTATATTTATATATATTTCATTGCTAAAATGTCAATTTTTAAGGCATCAAGAAGCAGATATAGAATTACCTATAACAAAATTAGTTTTTGAAGATGTTTGCCCATACTGTTGTTCAATATACTTTGGCTTATACGTCACCATGCCAATTAAAGAATTGAACTGAATGATACTTGCACACAAATACAGAATGTAAACTGGATTTCCAAAGAGGTTCTTCAGTGACGGCAAGAAATCTGCAAGACAAAATGGCAGAAATGACAACCAGGCCAGAGAGAGAATAACTGCTGTGAATAATGCTTTGCAACATGTTTGCACCTTCCAAAGAAGGATGGCAGGACATTTCAGAAAGAATCCATGAAGTCCCGTGATGCTCCTATGAGCTCCCCCGTTTCTGGTTGGGAGAATGGTGGAGCAAAATACTAAGCATCACTATTCCAGAAGAGCCATCTTATTTTAGATATCTTCTTTCGATCATAAAACAGGACTGATTTGATTTCTATGTGTCCTCGAGAGCCACAGCATCTTTTAGCTTAATTTGGCGGCAGAGGGAGCTCAGCACAGATGACATTAAGCACAGACATATTGATCTATAGATTCAAGTACTGGGGAAAATGCTTTTGTCAAAGTAGGGCCAAGGAAATGTTATTGTGCAAAACAGCCCATGTCTAAATCCAGACAGCCCCTAAAATACTGTATCTAGCCTGTGCCCATCTGATCAGATATAGTATGTGTTTTTCTAATGAATGACCTTAAAGAGAAAGGTTTGGCAGAAACTGAGATTGTCATATTTTTGACTCCCACTTCTGCCACAGTCAAGATCTGGGAATGAAACATTTTTGCAGAGTTTCGTGATATTTGCTGGGCCACTAGTGTAATTTTACAAATCTCAGCTGGAGAAATTCTGCATACAACAGGGAACAGTGACAAGACACTCTTTATCAGAGGATGTAGCAACAGGACAAGGGGTAACAGTTTTAAACTGAAAGATTAGATTTTAGGAAGATAACTGATTATATTAGTTATTAGGAAGAAATTCTTTACCCTGAGGGTGCTGAGACACTTGAACAGGCTGCCCAGAGAAGTTGTGGATGCCCCATCCCAGGAAGTGTTCATGGCCAGGTTGGATGGAGCTTTGACCAACCTGGTCTAGTGGAAGGTGTCCCTGCCCAAGGCAGGGGGGTTGGAACTAGATGATCATTGAGGTCCCTTCCAACCCAAACCATTTGATGATTCTATGACCCTTTTTTATACATACGAGTTAGGTGGAGAATGACACGTGAGGGGAAAAAAGTAACTCTGAGGCCATTAAAACAGAGCCTCAGAAAACATAAAGTATAAAATCTAGTGAGAGAGAGAGACTCAACAGTGAGGAAAGAAACTCTAGTGACATGCCTTTTGCCATCTCAGCAATCTTCACTTGTTGATAAGATTTGTGTTGTTCCTTGTTATCCTCAGTGATGAACTTTGACTGCTCGGAAGAGGTACTGGAGTCCTTTCTGTTCTCTGGTTTTGGGAGGTGCTTTGGCAGGAACCAGAAGGGGATGCCAGCCAGAACGCTAATCGTGCCTGCTATTAAGTAACCCAGCCACCAGGCTCCCACCCACTGCGCATCCTTGTGAGTTATCGTGATATTGTCTGGAGAAATCAAAAAAAGGAGAAACAAATAAATGCTTTTCAGGAATGTTTGCTGATAACAAGGACGGTGATTTTGCAGGGACTTTCTCCAGAGGAGTCCACCCCCTGCCTCTTGCCAGGTTTAACTGTGCCATGTGTCTCTATCAGTGTTAGAGGAGCAATTGTGGGGCTGCAATAAGGACTTGCTGATTCCTGTGACATAGCAGCAGCTGTCCCCTGACACCACAGGGTTCCCAACTCTGCCACTCACACATCCCCAGGGAGGCTGCAAGGACCAGGACATGAGATAGTCCGGTGGCCAAACTTTTGCTCCTAGCTGGGCTGTTCTGCACAAAAGTGCCAGGGAAAAAAAGGGGTGGAAGGTGTTTTCTTGGCAGGAAGGGAATCAAGAGCCCTGGTACCCATTGCAAGACCTCTTTTCCAGGCAATGACAATGTACTACAAAGTGCACACACGGTGCTCTTGGCAGGATCCTGAGCCTCAGTCCCCTCACCTCTTGATCCCAGAGACTCCTCACCAGGGCATCTCCTGGAAGGCACCAGCTTCAGATCTGCTGGGGCTGAGGACGAGTCAGGCCTCCTACTTCCTCCATACCCATCTTTCTTGACAGCCTTTTCTGCATGGGACATGCATTGCTGTCTTCCTTTTTATTTCATAAAGTGCCCGCTCTACCCCACTAGCTCCTTATGCCTAGACGATAACTAGTTCTTGACCTAAAATAGGCATATTGGAGCCAGACTGATTTTTTTTAAAATCTGAGTTTTCTGACTTACCCAGATCTACAAAGCCAATGTCAACATAAAGTTTGGCACACAGAGATCCTAGAAGAAAGCCAAATATTGGCCCTATAATTGCAACTGTCTGTACGCAGCCTGCAATAGAAAACAGGGGATTGTTACTCTTCTGAGTTAAAAAGGGCACTAGTTCTCGCTGCACCTAAAAACAAAGTATGACATGTAATGGGTAACAATTGATACAGTCTTAAAATTCTCAGCCGACCTTTGGTCTCTGGCACATTAGTTACAGAAATCAGAACATTTTCAGGAAGAAAAAAATCCAACAATAAAATTTCCCCCACTACACTGACATTTTTCTTATTGTCCAGCTAAAGAATGAAATTCAACCCAAAGGAGAAAAAGTCAGGGAAGTTAATGGTCTCAAGTCAATAATATCACCAATCTATGATGGCTAGAAACTCTTTAGCTGACTAGATTAAAGTAACTGAAAAGCAAATGGCAATTATTTATGTTAAATGAACACTTTAAGTTGTGGTAGGCCCTGAATAGGCTGAAAAATCACTTTGTTTTAGTACCCAATATTAACATGTTTCAATACATCCTCAGCAAAACTTTCTACATGTTTTGAATATTCAAAATGCATCTGGAAATCTGGGAAGACTGAATCTTTTATAGAGAGAACCTAAGGTTTTGCCTTTTGCCAGGTTGGAAACTTGTCAAGACAGGATGCTGGTGCAGAAGGAATTTTTGGTAATATCACAGGTGAATGTGCAGAGCTCTTCAGACAATGAACACAACAGGAAAACAATGCTACCAATTTTTCAGAGCCTCAGCACTATTGCTTCTAATTCTATGTGAATCTGGCGGGAATGTTCTGAGTGCCTGCCGAAATTCTATTTTAAGTGCTTAAAAGAGTACATGTTTTTTATCACTTTGCAGAGAACTGAATGTGCACAGGGGCTCAGCAGTCCACATCCAGAAGAATTAGGAAGATTAGGGTAACAGCAGGAACCTAAGGTCAAATTCTTTCCTCAAATTAAGATAATGGAACTGTGCTGGTATAATTAAAAGGGAACTTGGTCCCTTGAGTGTACACGACTGTTAAATAAACTTTAATATTGGAAATGATGCAAACAAAACAATCAGGGCAAGTTAATTCAATAACACTCATTCCATTATTCAGAATGACTCAGTTTCCTCTAAGGTAAAATCCATCAGGAAAAAGAAAATGAATTATTTATTTTACCAATGTATAAGGCAGCGTTCTCTTCAATGGCATAATCATCAATGTATGTAATTCCCAGAGGCTGGATAGGAGTTTCACCTATTCCACGCAAAAGATTTCCCAGCAAAACATAGATCCACATGGAAGAGCCTGCTTCTTTTTCACATCCTGGGTACATGACGAGAGAAACAACAATGATGCTTTTTTCATAACATTTTGACACCGAATGCACAGGACTTCTAAATCACTTCTAATGTGGTAAAACCAGTATGAAAACTGTGAAAAATATTTTGGTGGCGGTGGGGATGGCATTTTTAACCCAATCAGCTTGAGATGAGCACGTGCTTAACATTAACTGCTTCAGCCAAAGATTTCAGGAATAGCGTGGCCAGTAGGACCAGGGAGGTGATTGTTCCCCTGTACTCGGCACTGGTGAGGCCGCACCTCGAGTACTGTGTTCAGTTTTGGGACCCTCACTACAAGAAAGACTTTGAGGTGCTGGACTGTGTCCAGAGAAGGGCAACAAAGCCAGTGAGGGGTCTGGAGCACAAGTCTTGTGAGGAGCGGCTGAGGGAAGTGGGATTGTTTAGCCTGGAGAAAAGGAGGCTGAGGGGAGACCTTATCACTCTCTACAACCACCTGAAAGGAGGTTGTAGCAACGTGGGGGTCAGTCTCTTCTCCCAAATAACAGGTGATGGGACAAGAGGAAATGGCCTCAAGTTGCACCAGGGGAGGTTTAGATTGGATATTAGGAAAAATTTCTTCACAGAGAGGGTTATCAAGCATTGGAACAGGCTGCCCAGGGAAGTGTTGGAATCACCATCCCTGGAGGTATTTAAAAGACGGGTAGATGTGGTGCTGACGAGCATGGTTTAGTGGTGGTTTTGGCAGTGTTAGGTTAATGGTTGGATTCGGTGATCTTAAAGGTCCCTTCCAACCTACACAATTCTATGATTTAATGATATTAGAAGTTGGCCAGTTTTATAAATTTGATGCCACATCCCATTTTAGAAACCTTTTTCACTTCCTTCTAACCAAAATTGGGATCTCCTAATGGAAAGATTTGGGAAACATTGTTGATAGTGAACAGTACCAGTCACATCTAATTCACAGGTACAAGGATGCAAACACGCATGCATTTCATGACCTTGATTTGCTCATCCACAGCTTACTCCTGGCCAGGCATCGAGGAGGAAGGCTCCTTGCCCACCAGAAGCTCAACTCACCCAGAGGGGAGACACCTTCCAAGTGTGCAAATGGGGGTCAACGGGCAGGGAGAGAAACAAGAAGGGGGCTCTGCAGGCTGGGAGACCCAAGCAGCTATTTCCAGTGGGGTGAGGATCCAAAGGCACATTTCCTGGCAGAGGGAAGATCATGACTTTCCAAGGTCCCCATGGGAGATTGTCTGGTGTTTATGCAAGCCACAAAGCTGCAGAAAGTTGCTGGAGGAGACAGCAAGGCTGGAGGAAAGGCTACAGCCTGAAAAAACATCTTGGCAGTGGGTAGTGGCAGTTATATATTTATTTTTAATAAATTTGCCCCAGCCAGTGGATCTGGCTTTCTCGTGGGAAAGATTTATCTGATTCCCATTTACTATTTTTTTGCATTCTAATAAACCATTGCATGAGAGATCCTTTTGATGTATTTTAGTGTGCTTTTCACAATATTTAAAAGACATCATGCTCACCTGCATTTATTTTTGTATGAGATTTTTCCAAGGCTGAGAGTGGAGTTTGGCTTTTATCCTGCAGACATGGGGAGATGCTGACAGTTGAGTTGATGGTGGAAGGGAATCTTTCATACCTGTATCTGTTTATAAACCAAAGTTGGTTTTTACTGTCCCAACTTATAAGAAAAAGCAAACAGATCTGTTACTGCCATGTAAGATAGGCCCATAGCACTAAAATGCAGATTTCATTGACATCCAGTGTTGCTAATGATGGTTTACAGTGGAACTTAGTTTATACTGCAGTAGTATCTGAAAATTGTCCCTTTGGTTCTTTCTGTGCCACAGTGATGTGTTTCAGTTTAACAGGCACTTCACTCTGCTATGATACATGAATCCCCACTAAGACGTTATCAGACAGAGTGTATCCTCTGGCTTGAGTTTGGTACCCAGATTGTCTTCCTGAGTTTAGTTACCACTTCATCACTAGAAGATTCAGCTATTCTTAAACCATGTCAAAATGTGGCTGATCAAGATCACAGACCAATAAAATGATAAGTTGATTACAACTGAGAATAGCATATATGTTAAATTGTTTGCTCGGCAGTAATAAGTCTTTTCATAACAAATATTAAATTGAGTAACCACATCCACATATGTCTATTTCTGTGGGCATCTTCACAATCAATACCTAAATATTTCAGCAGGCTAACATCCAGTGTGCATAGCCCAATCAGAAAATACCAATCACTTTGCACTTACCGTCCCATGAAGAACTGGGGCATCGCAATTAGGAATGTTCCAGCTGACATAATTAAGCAGCCTGCTCCAATTATTCTCGGCCTGTGAAGCTTCGCTCCGAAGTAGCTTACAAGAATTATGATTAGGAGGTTCCCTTTGAAAGTACAAAAGGAAAACTGAGTTTTACAGCTTGTTGATAGGAGATCCCCTAAAGTAATGAAGCCTAGTGTGTGGTATAGGCAGCAATTTCAGGGGGAGAGGGCTGATCATGAGGGGCTGGTGTTTCTTCCTCTTTCCAGGCATTCTTACAGGAGCTCAGTGCCTTCCATGATAAGAAGACCGTAAACTTTTGGATAAGCAACTGGAAAAGAGGAGGACTGTTCCAGCTGAAGACAATAATATCCAGGAAAGCAGGAAAAGAAGGAATCAAAGCTTTATACACTTAGGCCAAGATTTCAATCCCATGAATACCACATTGCACTGAACCACCCTCAAGATACATTCAGTAATCTGAAATCACAAGCGGCAATGTCATGCTGAAAACCTTAGTGCAAGAGAAAAGGGATGGACTGGACGATGAACATAGATTACAGTTCAAGATTTGTACTCTTGCTGCTTAGTAAACCACAAAGGGCAAAGACTTGTGGGGGAGGCGGATTGCTGACAAAAGAAAGAGAAAGCAGAAATCTGTGCAGGTAAATTCTCATTCAACAGTCAAAATTTCTATTAGTACTAATCAGTCAGACACTAAGCTTATCAAATTACGAAATATTTAGCACTACGTTGAATTGCTTCTATTAGCAAACTCATCCTATCCAACATAATCATATTGACAATCATGCTGATTTTTACTACGCGAATCTTGCTCAGTTTTAATGGTTCAAGGGGATTCATACAATCATTTTCCACAAAAAATTGCATCACTGCATTTTTTCCGAAAACAAAAATGGTTTTCTACAGCACATACCAATTTCAAAACTGCCATCAATAACGCCAACCAAAGAGGAAGGGATATCGAATCTTCTTTCTATTTGTGTGATAGTACTTTTTAGATAACTTCCTGACAGTGCTTTAGCAAAATAAACAAAAGACAGTGCACCAAGAAATATCTGTGAAGGAAATTGACAGTGATTAAAATCAGGTAGTACACAAGGCTTTATTTTATGAATTACTTTTAAACAAGTCTTACATTCCCACTTCTTCTTTTCCCAAATAACCACGTCAATATACCTCCTACTTTTTATGAAATGCTAGATTGCCTGTTTTTCCATTTCTTTTGAGCAGTAATGACATAAAATGAACTTGGTATTAACCATTGCTAATTTCAGGTATACGCCAAAACTACTGATGCTTTGAAAGATGGAGACAAGTATCACCCTCCTGATGTCTCTAAGGCGGGGATATCTCACACAATAACAATAAGGGTAAATGTTAAGTATGGCTTGGTGGAGAGGTGAGTTGTTGTTTGGGCATTTTTTAACATAAGCTTTTGCAAACAGCTGGATTTTAGAGCCCAACTCTGGTAAGCTGTTCCCACCAAAGCCCCGGGTGGCCAAGAGGGAGAAGTCTCTGCCACCTGTGACATGGCAGCATGACTTGAACAGTGACATGCCAGGCAATTCTCTTCTAGGCTCGTCCTTTCCCCACCAGATTTCTTGTCAGCTCTAATACATACATTTTCTTTTGAGCGCACACTGCATTTTGCTGGGGGAGAACCTTCTGTTTTGCAGAGGCAGTTGTTTTCTCTTACCTATGGCTATAGATGTATTAGTCTGTTAGTCTGACTCAGGAGTGGGCTCTGGAAATGAAACTCCCACCTCCTTCACTGCACTTTGGTACATACTGCAAATGTGCAGATTGAATCCCTTTTACATGAAATTAAACTGGAAGATGTGCTCCAGAGGAGCACTACATTCACTTCAACAGCTAATGGCTCTTCAGTCTCTGGGACAAGCCTGGAGCTGGTTTGAAGTATCTCCCCACCCTGAAATGCTTAGAGTGGGAGTGCAGGGTCCTTAGCACCAACTGTTTCAGTCCTGCAGAGCTATTGCTTAAATTTGCCTTCAGTAAATGCAGACTTACTACGCTTACAAGCTCCAGGGATAGTCACGCACCATGCAATTGGTCATGGAATCCACAACATTGCTGTCTACCTTCAGATACAGGTTGTGTTGACTGAATATATAGGGATGCTCTTTATAAAAGTTGTTAAAAAAAACCACACCAGACCCTAAACCAGAAGTTGAAAAGGACACAGTAATTTTTTGTATAAAGAGAGTTCTAAACCTTTGTCCTACTCCTTAGACCTGCTCTCTGAGCAATCACGTTTCCAGCAAGCAGGTGCTCTGAAGCAATGCACTCACCTCCAGTGCAACACTCCTTACAACATCTCATTTGACAAGGCACATTGGTAATAACACTGGCATCACTGTTGAATGCAAATTCTTGTATTAAGGTTCAAATATATCTCTGTGTCACATTCAACATACTTTATCCAGTGCTGGTTATTCCTCTTTCAGAAGCATTTGTGGGTAAATAAACAGTATTTGGTTCTTGTTTCCTACATTGGAGGCTCTCAAAAAGCCCTCTAGTAAAAAGATTGCTGTAATATTGTATGTTTTCTGTGTATGAATGCCCTTGGATTTTAAATAGCAACATGTGAAAGCAAATATGGTTTTTCACAGGAAAATCATATAGGTTAAACTAGAACTTCAAACAACTCTGTCTCTCTTTAGCGCAAGTTTTTCTACTGGATTTGTCACTGTCCCAGGAGGGAGCTGGAGACCAGGTGCAGTGGTGGAAAAAATGCTCTTGATTTTGAGCTGGGACAGAAAGGTGTACAGAATTTGACATCTTCTGTGGTTTGTCAGTGACTGTAAGTAAGTATTTCACAATGTCTTTCTGGTTAGTAAAGGCAATTTTAACATATGGGAAGACTGACAATTGGTAAAAACAACCTGTTGAATCTGCATATTGTTTCGCTGACACATTAGGCAAATACAGAGCTGAAGTAGACTTTTTTGTGACTTAGAAATATCTTTAATAATTTCATACTGACTCACCAAGTCATAATCAGAACTGAAAAGGGCTTAGTTCACCCAAAAAAAGAGGTTTTCTAAGTCCCAACTAGAATAGGTTAATCATATCAGTTTGGGTTCCCAGAAGCCACAATTTTTTTGAACAGAAAGAAACTGAGCTGCAATATTATTGCTTTTCTATTTTTGGAGCTAATAAGCTGATTCCTGACTGGCTAATCTGTGACTGAAGGTTTATTCAATGAGGGAATCGGATTATTGTAGCAGCAAATGGAGGAACAATGCTAGAATTACTATTATGCTACACATTTAACTAATACACCTCATCTCCTATTTCAAAATGGGACTCAATTTCTGGGCCTTTACAGGATCAGAAAAAATCGAGGAGAAGATTCAGGATTCAATATATTTTTATAGCAGTCATCAAACTCGATTAATCCCACAATATGTTAACTGCTTTGCATAACTGATGGACTTCAGGTCAACTATTGCTGAAGTCATTGACTGTATTGAGAGCTGGACTAGTAGATGTGTGTGTGTCTGAGACGAAAACCAACAGAAATAAAGACTGTGTAAGATGAAAAGAACTGGGCAAGGCCAGAGACTCATTTTCCATACAACTCAAAATTGTCTCATCCCACCGTTGTATTTATTGAGACCTCACCCGA